CCGGATTTAGGAGGAAATTTGGGGTTTTTTGGGCTGAATTCGAGGATTTCGGGGGTAAATTCGGGGGTTTTTGGGCCGCGCGCCGCCGGCGCCATCACAGACCCGTTCAGCCGAGCGCTGATTGGCTGAAGGGGTCAGAAGAGACTGTCAATCAAACAGCAGAGCCAATCACAGCGCGGAACAGGACTGGGAACGCCTCTGCAGCTTTTCCCCCTCACACTCCGGGTCCGGGAGAAAATGTTGGCATTTAGGGCGGAATTTGGCGATTTTGGTGGCAAATTTAGGGATTTTTGGGTGGAATTTGCGAGTTTAGGGAGGAAATTCCGAGTTTTTTTGGCGGAATTCGAGGATTTCGGGGGTAAATTCGGGGGTTTTGGGCTGCGCGGCGCCGGCGCCATCACAGACCCGTTCGGCCGAGCGCTGATTGGCTGAGGGGGTCCGGAGAGGCTGTCAATCAAACGGCAGAGCCAATCACAGCGCAGAAGAGGACTGGTAACGCCTCCGCAGCTTTTCCCCTCAGAATCCGGGACTGGGGGAGAATGTTGGGCATTTAGGGCGGAATTTGGGGGTTTTGGTGGAAAATTCAGTGATTTTCGGGAGGAATTCGCGGGTTTAGGAGGAAATTCGTGTTTTTTTGGGCTGAATTCGAGGATTTCGGGCATAAATTCGGGGGTTTTGGGCTGCGCGGCGCCGGCGCCATCAGAGACCCGTTCGGCCGAGCGCTGATTGGCTGAAGGGGTCCGGAGGAGCTGTCAATCAAACGGCAGAGCCAATCACAGCGCGGTTTTGAAAATGGTAACGCCTCCGCAGCTTTTTCCCCTCAGAATCCGGGACTGGGGGAAAATGTTGGCATTTACGGCGGAATTTGGGGGTTTTGGTGTAAAAGTTAGGAATTTTCGGGTGGAATTCGCGGGTTTAGGGAGGAAATTCGGGGATTGTGGGCGAAATTCGAGGATTTCGGGGATAAATTCGGGGGTTTTGGGCTGCGCGGCGCCGGCGCCATCAGAGACCCGTTGGGCCGAGCGCTGATTGGCTGAAGGAGTCCGGGGAGGCTGTCAATCAAACGGCAGAGCCAATCACAGCGCGGTTTAGGGGTGGGAACGCCCCCGCCTCAGATTTCCCGCCTTCGGCGCTGCGGAGAAGAAAATTCGGACATTTTGGGGCGAAATGTGGAGGTTTTGGGGAGAAATTTGGGGATTTGGGGGAATTTTGGGGGTTTTGGAGAGAAATTTGGGGGTTTTGGGGTGGATTTCAGAGATTTTGGGGTGAAATTAAGGGGGTTTGTGGAGACATTCGGAGGGTTTGGGGTGGAATTCGGGGATTTTGGGGAGAAATTTGGGGATTTAAGGGAAATTTGGGGTTTTTCGGGTGGATTTCGGAGATTTTGGGGCGAAATTAAAGGGGTTTGGGGAGACATTCGGAGGGTTTGGGGTGGAATTTGGGGGTTTGGGGAGAAATTTGGGAATTTCGGGGTGGATTTCGGAGATTTTGCGACGAAATTCAGGGAGTTTGGGGGGAATTCGGGGGTTTGGGGGATTTTGGGGTGGAAATCGGAGATATTGGGGCAAAATTCGGGCATTTGGGGTGGAATTTGGAGGTTTTGGGGCAAAATTCAGGAAGGTTTGGGGTGGAATTTGGAGATTTTGGGCAGAATTCGGCGGTTTGGGGGATTTTGGGGTGGAAATTGGAGATTTTGGGGCGAAATTCGGGGGGTTTGGGGTGGAAATTGGGCGTTTTGGGGAGAAATTTGGGCAAAATTCAGGAAGGTTTGGGGTGGAATTCGGAGATTTTGGGCAGAATTCGGCGGGGTTGGGGTTTTTGGGGTGGAAATCGGAGATTTTGGGGCGAAATTCGGGGGGTTTGGGATGGAATTTGGGGTCTGGGGCAGGATTTGGGGTGGAATTCGGGGATTTTGGGGTAAAACTCAGGGTTTTGGGGGTGAAATTTGGGGATTTTGGGTTGAAATTTGGGGATTTTGGGGTGAAATTTGGGGATTTTATAATTTTTCCATCCACAAGGAACAAACACACGGACACAGAGCTGCAAACCTTCGCTTTTAATCATTTTTTGGGGAGGATTTATGGCTCCAGAGGTGACTCCGATGGGTGGGGGTGACTCAGGAAAACGGGAAACGCCCAAATTCCCGTGGAAAAACCCCAAAATTCCATCGTTTTCTGTCAAATTCCATCGTTTTCCATCAAAACTCTGCGGTGCCACCCTCGGGTGTCCCCTGTCCCCCTTGAGGTGACACCGAGGTGACATCGATGGGTGGGGGCAACTCAGGCTCGGGAAATGCCCAAATTCCGGTGGGAAAACCCAAAAATTCCATCGGAAAAACCCTGAAATTCCATCATTTTCTGTCAAATTCCATCGTTTTCCATCAAAACTCAGTGGTGCCACCCTCGGGTGCCCCCTGTCCCCCCCGAGGTGACATCGAGGTGACATCGATGGGTGGGGGTGACTCAGCCTCGGGAAACGCCCAAATTCCGGTGGGAAAACCCAAAAATTCCATCGGAAAAAACCCCGAAATTCCATCGTTTTTCATCAAATTCCATAGTTTTCCATCAAAACTCGGCGGTGCCACCCTCGGGTGTCCCCTGTCCCCCCTGAGGTGACATCGATGGGTGGGGGCGGCTCATCCTCAGGAAATTCCCAAATTCTGGTGGGAAAACCCAAAAATTCCATCGGAAAAACCCCGAAATTCCATCATTTTCTGTTAAATTCCACTGTTTTCCATCAAAACTTGGTGGTGCCACCCTCAGGTGCCACCCATGGGTGTCCCCTGTTCCCCCCGAGGTGACATCGAGGTGACATCGATGAGTGGGGGCGGCTCAGGCTTGGGAAACGCCCAAATTCCGGTGGGAAAACCCAAAAATTCCATTGGAAAAAAAACCAAAATTCCATCATTTTCCATCAAAACTCTGCGGTGCCACCCTCGGGTGTCCCCTGTCCCCCCCGAGGTGACACCGAGGTGACATCGATGGGTGGGGGTGACTCAGCCTCGGGAAATGCCCAAATTCCAGTGGGAAAACCCAAAAATTCCATTGGAAAAAACCCCAAAATTCCATCTTTTTGCATCAAAACTCAGCGGTGCCACCCATGGGTGCCACCCACGGGTGTCCCTTGTTCCCCCTGAGGTGACATCGATGGGTGGGGGTGACTCAGGCTCGGGAAACACCCAAATTCCGGTGGGAAAACCCAAAAATTCCATCAAAAAAACCCAAAATTCCATCGTTTTCTGTCAAATTCCACTGTTTTCCATCAAAACTTGGTGGTGCCACCCTCGGGTGCCACCCAGGGGTGTCCCCTGTTCCCCCCGAGGTGACATCGAAGTGACATCGATGGGTGGGGGTGACTCGGGCTCGGGAAACGCCCAAATTCCGGTGGGAAAACCCAAAAACTCCGTCCAAAAAAACCTGAAATTCCGTTGTTTTCCATCAAAACTCGGCGGTGCCACTCTCGGGTGCCACCCATGGGTGTCCCCTGTCCCCCCCGAGGTGACATCGATGGGTGGGGTGACTCGGGCTCGGGAAACGCCCAAATTCCGGTGGAAAAACCCAAAAATTCCATTGGAAAAAACCAAAAATTCCATCATTTTCCATCAAATTCCGTTGTTTTCCATCAAAACTCAGCGGTGCCACCCTCGGGTGCCACCCATGGGTGTCCCTTGTCCCCCCCGAGGTGACATCGAGGTGACATCGATGGGTGGGGGTGACTCGGGCTCGGGAAACGCCCAAATTCTGGTGGGAAAACCCAAAAATTCCATCAGAAAAAAACCCAAAATTCCATCGTTTTCATCAAATTCCATCATTTTCCATCAAAACTTAGTGGTGCCACCCTCGGGTGCCACCCATGGGTGTCCCTTGTCCCCCCCGAGGTGACACCGAGGTGACATCGATGGGTGGGGGCAACTCAGGCTCGGGAAACGCCCAAATTCCGGTGGGAAAACCCAAAAATTCCATCGGAAAAAACCCCGAAATTCCATCGTTTTCCATCAAAACTCGGCGGTGCCACCCTCGGGTGTCCCCTGTCCCCCCCTGAGGTGACACCGAGGTGACATCGATGGGTGGGGGTGACTCGGGCTCGGGAAACGCCCAAATTCCGGTGGGAAAACCCAAAAATTCCATCGGAAAAACCCTGAAATTCCATCATTTTCTGTCAAATTCCGTTGTTTTCCATCAAAACTCAGTGGTGCCACCCACGGGTGTCCCCTGTCCCCCCTGAGGTGACACCGAGGTGACATCGATGGGTGGGGGTGACTCAGCCTCGGGAAACGCCCAAATTCCGGTGGGAAAACCCAAAAATTCCATCGGAAAAACCCAAAAATTCCATCGGAAAAAAGCCAAAATTCCATCATTTTCTGTCAAATTCCATTGTTTTCCATCAAAACTTGGCGGTGCCACCCATGGGTGTCCCCTGTCCCCCCCCGAGGTGACATCGATGGGTGGGGGTGACTCAGGCTCGGGAAACGCCCAAATTCTGGTGGGAAAACCCAAAAATTCCATCGTAAAAAAGCCAAAATTCCATCGTTTTTCATCAAATTCCATGGTTTTCCATCAAAACTCGGCGGTGCCACCCATGGGTGTCCCCTGTCCCCCCCTGAGGTGACACCGAGGTGACATCGATGGGTGGGGGCGACTCAGGCTCAGGAAACGCCCAAATTCCGGTGGGAAACCCAAAAATTCCATTGGAAAAAACAAAATTCCATCGTTTTCCATCAAATTCCATTGTTTTCCATCAAAACTCGGCGGTGCCACCCTCGGGTGTCCCTTGTCCCCCCTGAGGTGACATCGAGGTGACATCGATGGGTGGGGGTGACTCGGGCTCGGGCAACGTCCAAATTCCGGTGGGAAAACCCAAAAATTCCATCGGAAAAACCCCCGAAATTCCGTTGTTTTCCATCAAAACTCAGCGGTGCCACCTACGGGTGTCCCCTGTCCCCCCTGAGGTGACATTGAGGTGACATCGATGGGTGGGGGCGACTCATCCTTGAAAAACCCCCAAATTCCGGTGGGAAAACCCAAAAATTCCATCGGAAAAAACCCCGAAATTCCATCGTTTTCCATCAAAACTCGGCGGTGCCACCCTCGGGTGCCACCCAGGGGTGTCGGGTGTCACTCTGGGTGTCACCTCGGGTGTCACTCGGGGCTCAGCCACGTCCCCGCCTCCTCCACGTCCCGGGGCACCACCAGGAACAGCTCCGAGGGGCCCCGCGACAGCGCCTCCCGCAGGAACTCCCTGGAACAGCAAAAATATCTGAATTTCACCCCAAAATAGCACAATTTCACCCCAAAATAGCCCAATTTCACCCCAAAATAGCCCAATTTCACCCCAAAATATCCCAATTTCACCGAAAATATCCCAATTTCACCCAAAATATCCCAATTTCACCCCAAAATATCCCAATTTCAACCCAAAATATCCCAATTTCACCGAAAATATCCCAATTTCACCGAAAATATCCCAATTTCACCTCAAAATATCCCAATTTCACCTCAAAATATCCCAATTTCACCCAAAATATCCCAATTTCACCCAAAATTGCCCAATTTCACCCAAAATAGCCCAATTTCACCCAAAATTGCCCAATTTCACCGAAAATATCCCAATTTCACCCAAAATAGCCCAATTTCACCGAAAATATCCCAATTTCACCTCAAAATATCCCAATTTCACCCAAAATAGCCCAATTTCACCCCAAAATATCCCAATTTCAACCCAAAATAGCCCAATTTCACCCCAAAATAGCCCAATTTCACCCAAAATAGCCCAATTTCACCCCAATATAGCCCAATTTCACCCCAAAATATCCCAATTTCACCTCAAAATATCCCAATTTCACCCCAAAATAGCCCAATTTCATCCCAAAATCCCCGAATTTCGACCCAAAACCCACGAGTTTCACCCCAAAATCTGAATTTCACCCCAAAATAGCCCAATTTCACCCCAAAATCTCTGATTTTCGATCCAAAATCTCTGAATTTCACCCCAAAATGTCTGATTTTTGATCCAAAATCTCCGAATTTTCACCCAAAATCCTCAAATTCCGGCCCCAAACCCCCGAATTTCACCCGAATTACAGCCCAAAACCCCCGAATTTCATTCCAAAATCTCTGAATTTTGACCCAAAACCCACGAATTTGACCCCAAATTCTCTGAATTTTGACCCCAAATCCCCAAATTCCAGCCCAAAACTCCCCGAATTTCACCCCAAAATCCCCGAATTCTGACCCAAAATCCCGGTATTCACCCCAAAATCTCTGAATTTCACCCCAAAATCCTCGAAATTCACCCCCAAATCTCTGAATTTCGACCTAAAAACCCCGAGTTTTACCCCAAAATCCCCAAATTTTGACCCAAAATCCACGCGTTTCACTCCAAAATCTCTGAATTCCACTGCAAAATCTCAAAATTTCACCCCAAAACCCCCGAATTCCACCTCAATATTCCCAAATTTCTCCCCAAAACCCTCAAATTCCGCCCCAAAATTCCCAAATTTCTCCTCAAAATCCCTCAATTTCTTCCCCACAGCGCCTGTGGCGGGAAACCTTGGGCGGGAGTGTCCCCCCTTCCCCGCGATTCGCGCTGATTGGCTCCGACACTTGATTGACATCCCGCTCAGCCAATCAGCGCACAAGCAGTTAAAACCCCTCAAATTTCACCCTCAAAATCTTCGAATTTCAGCCCCAAAATCGCCGATTTTGCCCCAAAACCGCCGCGTTCCACTCCAAATCACCGAATCTTTCCTACAAAACCTCCAAATTCCACCCGAAAAACCCCGAATTCTGCCCCAAAATTCCCGAATTTTTCCTCAAAATCTCCGAAGTTTTTCCCCACAGCGCCTGAGGCGGGAAACCTGAGGCGGGAGCTTTCCCCTCATCCAGCGACGCTGATTGGCTCTCTCCTTTGATTGACATCAGCCTCAGCCAATCAGAACGCGGACAACTCAAACCCCCTCAAATTTCACCAAAATCCTCGAATTTCAGCCCCAAAATCACCGAATTTTGCCCCAAAATCGCCGCGTTTCGCCCCAAATCACCGAACCTTTCCTACAAAACCTCCAAATTTCACCCGAAAAAACCCGAACTCCGCCCCAAAATTCCTGAAATTCTCCTCAAAATCCCCGAAGTTTTCCCCACAGCGCCTGTGGTGGAAAACCATGGGCGGGAGCGTTCCCCTCATCCAACGACGCTGATTGGCTCTCTCTTTTGATTGACATCGCGCTCAGCCAATCAGCGCACAGCCAGTTTTAAGCCCTCAAATTTCACCCTCAAAATCCTCCAATTTCAGTCCCAAAATCAACAAATTTTGCCCCAAAATCGCCGCGTTTCGCCCCAAATCACCGAATCTTTCCTACAAAACCTCCAAATTTCACCTGAAAACCCCAAAATTCTACCCCAAAATTCCCGAATTTCTCCCCAAAATCACCCATTTTCTTCCCTACAGCGCCTGTGGCGGGAAACCCGAGGCGGGAGCTTTCCCCTCATCCAACGACGCTGATTGGCTCTCTGCTGTGATTGACATCCCTTTTAGCCAATCAGCGCACAGGCACTTTAAAACCCTCCAACTCCACCCTCAAAATCCTCACATTTCAGCCCCAAAATCCCCGAATTTCAGTCCCAAAATCCTTGAATTTCAGTCCCAAAATCTCCGAATTTCAGTCCCAAAATCCTCGAATTTCAGTCCCAAAATCCTCAAATTTCAGCCCCAAAATTCCCGAATTTCTCCCCCAAATCCCCCATTTTCTTTCCCACAGCACCTGTGCGGGAAACCGTGGGCGGGAGCGTTCCCCTCATCCAACGACGCTGATTGGCTCTCTCGTTTGATTGACATCCCATTCAGCCAATCAACGCACAGGGAGTTAAAACCCCTCAAAATTCACCCTCAAATTCCTCCAATTTCAGCCCGAAAATCGCCAAATTTCGCCACAAAACACCGAAATTTTCCTACAAAACCTCCAAATTTCACCCGAAAAACCCCGAATTCCGCCCCAAAATTCCCGAATTTCTCCTCAAAATCTCCAAAGTTTTTTCCCACAGCGCCTGAGGTGGGAAACAATGGGCGGGAGCTTTCCCCTCATCCAGCGACGCTGATTGGCTCTCTCTTTTGACTGACATCGCGCTCAGCCAATCAGCGCACAGCCAGTTTTAAGCCCTCAAATTTCACGCTCAAAATCCTCCAATTTCAGTCCCAAAATCAACAAATTTTGCCCCAAAATCGCCGCGTTTCGCCCCAAATCACCGAATCTTTCCTACAAAACTTCAAAATTTCACCCGAAAAACCCGGAATTCCGCCCCAAAATTCCCGAATTTCTCCTCAAAAGCTCCGAAGTTCTTTCGCAGGGCCGGAGGCGGGAAACCTGAGGCGGGAGCATTCCCCCCCATCCAACGACGCTGATTGGCTCTCTGCTGTGATTGACATCCCACTCAGCCAATCAGCGCACAGACAGCTTAAACCCCTCAAATTTCACCCTCAAAATCGCCAAATTTCGCCCCAAAATCCCCGAATTTCGCCCCAAAATCGCCGCGTTCCCCTCACCTGAGCTGCGGCTCGGCKCCGATGGCGGCGGGGGCGGCCAATTTGGAGTCCAGGTTGTAAAAAGTGCGGCCGAGGCGGCGAACGCCGACCCAGTGCGGGCGGGACACRGGCAGCGCCAGCGTCCCCAATGTCACCCGCGAGGGGACATTGAGCAGGAATCCCAAAATGTGCGGCAGCGCCAGGCGCTCCAGCGGGCTGGGGAGGGGGCACAGGGGGCGTTAGGGGGGGCGGGAATTTGGGGAGGGGGCTTTTGGGGTCATGGGGAGGGGTCTCATTGTCGTTATGGCCGTCCCATGGTCACTAAAGCCGGTGTGACAAAGGGGGTTTGAAACGTCCCCAATTGGGTTGGGGGTCTCAGAGGGGGCTGGAATTTGGGGAAGGGGTCACGGGAGGGTTCCAAAACTTGGGGAGGGGTCTCAGGAGGCTGTCCCTGAATTTGGGGAGGGGTCTCATTGTCGTTATGGCCGTCCCGTGGTCACTAAAGCCGGTGTGACAGGAGGGGTTTGTAAGGTCCCCAATTGGGTCGGGGGTCTCAGAGGAGGCTGGAATTGGGCTGGGGGGTCCGGGAATTTGGGGAGGGGTCTCAGGAAGCTGTCCCTGAATTTGGGGAGGGGTCCCATCATCGCTTTTCCCATCCCATGGTCACCAAGGCCGGTGTGACAGGAGGGGTTTGAAACGTCCCCAATTGGGTTGGGGGTCTCAGAGGGGGCTGGAATTGGAGGAGGGGGGGTCCAAGAATTTGGGGAGGGGTCTCAGGGGTCCATCCCCAATTTGGGGAGGGGTCTCAGGTAATTTGGGGAGGGGTCCGGGTTAATTTGGGGAGGGGTCTCGGGTAATTTGGGCAGGGGTCCCGGGTTAAT